ATACCTTTTCACAGCACTGTATATAGTGTACATGCTTCAAATATGCATGCTACAGACACATTTTCAGCCCAGCAGCAAAGCAGATCTGTGTAATCACCACCTCTCCATATCCCTGGCACTATTGCTTCTCTTTGTTCACTAAAAAACTGTTTTTTTAGTGAACTGTCTCGTATTCCTCTAGCCATTAAACTTCTAAACACTGGTGACACCCAGCTTGCTGCAGCAAAGCTAAGTTTGGCATGTGTTCTTTTACCACAGACCAGCTCACTGTTGAGGATCTGTTATATAACTCAAGAATTCATGTGGCAATTATGACAACATCCATCTCTCCATCAATTTTTCTTACTAATTATTGAGGCTGGATTGAAATCAGGTGATATTCCCATACACGTACATGGAACAAGCATTTCAACATAAAAGCATACAATATATGCAGACAAAGACATCCTCTAAAGCGCCCTCAGCTGTGCTACAGATGTCTCCTAGTTTGACACAAAGCCCCTGGGACCCTCACAGCTGATTGCCCAAAGTGGAGAGGCACACTGGGACAGGAAGGTAATATAGAAACTAAGAAAGTGGAGCTGTCAAAGAATGCAAACAAGTCTAATCTGATTACATATGGCAGTAAAATTTAGTAGAAAGGTTGTTGTTCCTCTAGATATCGAGTGTTTTACAATTGAATGAAAAAGCATTGTTGTCACCTTTTAAAGCTGATTGTGAATTTTTAAGAATGCCTCTGATGTGTATCCAAGAATCCAAGAATAAAGCTGTGGGCAATACAGTCAAAACCAGCAGACTCCACAGAGCGAAGAAGAACTGCAGATTTGACTGATAATATATTAAAGAAATCTAAAAATACTGAAAACAGTTTTAATAATGTAATCTTTTTTTTTTGTATTTTAAGGATGTTCCCTTTATGTTTTTCAGGCCTGTGAGTAATGCCTCTGAGGTGATGCAGATTATTAGCAGCGTTCTGAAGCTCAGAGCTCACTGTCCCACCCTTGTCCACGCGGACTCATCACGCTCTCACCTCATTGTGACCCTCACGGTTTCCTCCAAGAGTCCCAATGCAGTGGCCCTGGGTGAGATGCCTGTCTGGGAATTCATTGAGGACCTCTTTCAGTGACCTGCCGTTCACAAGTTCTTGCATCGTAACCCTTTCGCTCTTCCATTCAGCCCGCAGGCTACAGAGTGCCAAGATGGACATGCGGCGCTCCACCCAGAAGGAGTGGTGGAGTCCACGCTGTCGCCGTGCCAACCTCGCCGCCCACCACTCAGCTGACGAAACCTCTGCAAGCCCCGCGTCCTCTCCCTGCTCGACCCCGTCCCTTTCTCCCTGCCCCTCCCCGAGGAACAGCATCACTCAGACTCCGTTCAGGACAAAGCTTCAGCTGGTGGACCTGGCTGGCAGCGAGTGTGCTGGTAGGTGCTCCGTGTAGGAGGACATTCTTTGAAAAGGTTGGCATTCTGGGAAGTGGTTTATGGTGCAATAATTTACTGGGAAACCGGAGAATCGAGACTTGACAAATCTGCCTAGTGCTTAGTTTTCCATGACTATTTTTTAGTCTGTTTGAGATAAATATGCAGTTTAGAAGTTTCTTTTTTTCAGTCAGAGCCTGGACTAGGAACTACAAAAATTATTAATCAAAAGGTTGGGCTTCAAAGTACAATACAATACAATACAGTTTTATTTATATAGCATATTTAAAACCCGAAGGCACACCAAAGTGCTTCACAGTAATATGGAGAATCAACATAAGTCAATAACAGGGTACAGATCAGGCACTAGCACAGACAGGATAGAGGCACTAACAGACCAGAAGA